GGTTTCTGGGGGCCACTGAGTAATTTATTCTGAGTTTCAATATGGAGCATAACGGATACCAACCCATACTGCTTATGTAGAAAAAGCTAATGGGTGCAACGCAATCTCGCCCAAACCTTTTCCATTATCATCTATTTTAGATGGTTTAGGAAACTCAAATAATAATATTCCCAACTTCTGTATTATCTAGTGTCTAATGTTGACTTTTAAAAGCTGCCAGTTGTTTTTGATAGTCAAAAGAGTGTTTGTAATATGATTTTATTTTTTTTAAAGGAAAAACCACAAAGCATTCAGCTGTCCCTAACAAACCAACCTTTGTAGAATTTATTAACTAGCAGGAACCTCTGTGAAATAAACCTCATTTCTGACCCCTTCTAAGCCTTAGCGAATTGGGGATTTGGATATAAGCCTACACTTCGGAATCACCTCTCATCAAACAGGAAACAATATAACTCTAGAAATTGTGTAAAACACCTCTTCCAGACAAAACAACTATTCTTAGTTTTGATAATGTTTATATTGTACGTTCTCCTCATCCCCATTTCCTGAGTTGATAAACACTATTTCTGTCCTTTGGCCCATGATCTGCATCAAGGATGTCTTTATTGCTCAGAAAGGCCAATTTCATACCTGGCTTTGTGATTTCCTTCTGTGCTCTTGAGATAATGTGTTTGGGGGACTGCTCCAAGCTCAGTTAGGAAAGGCAGTACAGGATTCCTCCTTGGCATAGATTTCTTGGACTGAATTCAGGCAATCTATGTTAATTAATCAACCCACTCAGGAGAAATGTCCCTTTTTCCGGTCTTCTCCTGTCACTATGCATTACAAATATACTACTGAAACAGGAAAGACATTTTTTTTCAGAGATAGGCTTTTCCTGTTGTATGATTCATTAAATGGTGTCGTGGTTCCATGGAGACTAATTGCGATCAATCTCTTAGAAGAACGGTTTTAAGGAACAAGACGAAGAGGGAAGAAATCTAATAGGAATTCCTTACTGTGCCACAGTTTTCCTTAACCTTGGACAAATCACTCTGTGTCCCACCTTACTAATCATTTGCAGTTTTACA